CACTGTAGAATAAACATGACACATACACATTGTAGAATAAACATGACACATACACACTGTAGAATCAACATGACATATACACTCCGTGGAATCAACATGACACATACACACTGTAGAATAAACATGACACATACACATTGTAGAATAAACATGACACATACACACTGTAGAATCAACATGACACATACACTCCGTGGAATCAACATGACACATACACCCTGTAGAATCAACATGACCCACACATACACCCCGTGGAATCAACATGACCCACACATACACCCTGTGGAATCAACATGACCCACACATACACCCTGTAGAACCAACCTGACAAATACACCCCGTGGAATCAACATGACCCACACATACACCCTGTAGAATCAACATGACCCACACATACACCCTGTAGAATCAACATGACACATACACCCTGTAGAATCAACATGACACATACACCCTGTAGAATCAACATGACACATACACCCGTGGAATCAACACGACCCACACATACACCCTGTAGAATCAACATGACCCACACATACACCCCGTGGAATCAACATGACACATACACCCTGTAGAACCAACCTGACCCATACACACTGTAGAATCAACATGACACATACACCCTGTAGAATCAACATGACCCACACATACACTCCGTGGAATCAACATGACACATACACCCTGTAGAATCAACATGACACATACACCCTGTAGAATCAACATGACACCTACACCCCGTGGAATCAACATGACCCACACATACACCCTGTAGAATCAACATGACCCACACATACACCCCGTGGAATCAACATGACCCACACATACACCCTGTAGAATCAACATGACCCACACATACACCCTGTAGCACCAACCTGACACATACACCCTGTAGAATCAACATGACCGGCACATACTCCCTGTAGAACCAACATAACCCGCACATACACCCTGTAGAATCAACATGACCCAAACATGCACCCTGTAGAATCAACATGACCCACACATACACTCCGTGGAATCAACATGACCCACACATACACCCTGTAGAACCAACATGACCCACACATACACCCCGTGGAATCAACATGACCCACACATACACCCTGTAGAATCAACACGACCCACACATACACCCCGTGGAATCAACATGACACATACACCCTGTAGAACCAACCTGACCCATACACACTGTAGAATCAACATGACACATACACCCTGTAGAATCAACATGACCCACACATACACTCCGTGGAATCAACATGACACATACACCCTGTAGAATCAACATGATCAACACATACACCCTGTAGAACCAACATGACACATACACCCTGTAGAATCAACATGACACATGCACCCTGTAGAATCAACATGACCCACACATACACCCTGTAGAACCAACATGACACATACACCCTGTAGAATCAACATGATCCACACATACACCCTGTGGAATCAACATGACACATACACCCTGTAGAATCAACATGACACATACACCCTGTAGAATCAACATGACATATACACCCCTTGGAATCAACATGACCCACACATACACCATGTGGAATCAACATGACCCACACATACACCCTGTGAAATCAACATAACCCGCACATACACCCTGTAGAATCAACATGACCCACACATACACCCTGTAGAACCAACATGACCCACACATACACCCTGTAGAATCAACATGACCCACACATACACCCCGTGGAATCAACATGACCCACACATACACCCCGTAGAATCAACATGACACATACACCCCGTGGAATCAACATGACCCACACATACACCCTGAAGAACCAACCTGACAAATACACCCTGTAGAATCAACATGACCCACACATACACCCCGTGGAACCAACATGACCCACACATACACCCTGTAGAATCAACATGACCCACACATACACCGACACCCTGTAGAATCAACATGACACATACACCCTGTGGAATCAACATGACCCACACATACACCCTGTGGAATCAACATGACACATACACCCTGTAGAATCAACATGACAAATACACCCCGTGGAACCAACATGACACATACACCCTGTCGAATCAACATGACCCACACATACACCCTGTGGAATCAACATGACCCACACATACACCCTGTGGAATCAACATGACCCACACATACACCCTGTGGAATCAACATGACCCACACATACACCCTGTGGAATCAACATGACCCACACATACACCCTGTAGAACCAACCTGACAAATACACCCCGTGGAACCAACATGACCCACACATACACCCCATGAAATCAACATGACCGGCACATACACCTCGTGTAATCAATGAAGCAACCAGCTTTAGCCAGCAGCATGCACCATCTTGAATGGCCTCATTAGGTCCTTTCTATTTAGCTGGGCCATAAACCTGTCGCATTAAACGTAAGTAGATGGGACTGTGTGGTCCATCTGTCAATGAGTGTAATCATCACCAACAGACCTCTCTATGTTAGCCAGTAAACTGTATCCCCCTCGGGCTTACTCAGACGTCCCATAATTAACTTATCGAACAATAGCTCGAGTACACCGTAGTTAAACATGTCTACCAGAGTTCTTTCCCTTGAGATAGATAGCCTCCCCTACCCTGCTATCAACCGAACTCCGCAATTTTTGAACGAAAGAAAATTAGAAATAGTAGGCCTAATTAGATAATTTAACGTACCAATACACTTAAAGCAACATAAAGAGCTTATTAATAAGATGTCCGCTACAACATAAAACCACTTGTAACATATTCTACAGCATAGCACTACGAAATTGACGCCAAAATATGTCCAATATGAACAGAGCGTTGACCTCTCATTAACAAAATTGGTCTTCCAAAGCAATTACTTTCAGAGTAACATGTTAAACAGCAGGTTGTCACGACCTTTTAGTTTACAGTAAACCTGTTTTATTTTTCATCCTGTGTCAGACATTGGTTCACCACAAGTGTGAAGCTGTATTAAGAAATACTGCATTTTCACTGGTCTCTTGCACCAAGCACGGGAATGAATCAATGTAGCCCAAATATGATATCTTAAGCCGGTAATAGCACAGCTGACGTAGAACAACCGGCGTAGTTGATTGTAGTGAAAATAAAGCTCGACGCCAGTTAGACTTGATGGATTTCTGGGGTGTAACTGATCAAAGCACTGGTAGATCTATAGGCTAGTGTTGTTGAAGCTGTGTGTGGTTAGTGTTGTTGTAGCTGTGTGCGGTTAGTGTTGTTGTAGTTATGGGGTTAGTGTCATTGTAGGTTAGTGTTGTAGTCGTGTTGTTAGTTAAGTTGTTGTAGTTGTGTTGTTAGTGGTGTTGTAGTCGTGTTGTTGCAGTTGTGTTGTTAGTGGTGTTGTAGATGTGCTGTTAGTGTTGTTGTAGTCGTGTTGTAGACGAGTTGTTGTATTCGTGTTGTTAGTGTTGTAGTCGAGTTGGTAGTCGTGCTGTTAGTGGTGTTATTGTCGAGTTGGTAGTCGTGTTGTTAGTGGTGTTATTGTCGAGTTGGTAGTCGTGTTGTTAGTGGTGTTATTGTCGAGTTGGTAGTCGTGTTGTTAGTGGTGTTATTGTCGAGTTGGTAGTCGTGTTGTTAGTGGTGTTATTGTCGAGTTGGTAGTCGTGTTGTTAGTGGTGTTATTGTCGAGTTGGTAGTCGTGTTGTTAGTGGTGTTATTGTCGAGTTGGTAGTCGTGTTGTTAGTGGTATAGTAAGGCGAGTGTTTAGTGTTATCAAAGTCGTATGTACACAGAGCAAACTAGTACAAACTCACCGTATCAGTGTACACATGTCAGCCAAATATTCATGTACACGTGTCAATCATATATTCGTATACACATGACAGCAATATATTCGTTTACATGCTAGTCCTATTATTTGTGTACACATGTCAGCCCGATATTCGTGTACACATGCTAGCCTAGTATACAGTACACATGTCAGCCATGTATACACAACACCCGAATACCCAGACATGAAAACGGGATCTTCAATGCTACTCACACAGGTCAAATCAAATGATTATATTACCCATCACGTGACGGCCATTCGGTGCACCATTGGCTTACCGGGGATCTAATTTTAGCCGCCGTATGTTTTTATTGAGACTCCCACCAGTGGGCCGAGCCAAAATATACTGGAGCGAAGTTTCCCAGTTTCAAAGCAGCCGATAGAATTTATACCCAATAACCAAACATCGGGCAGAGGAGAGAATGTATACCTAATCAAACATCGATATACTACAGGCGAGTTTCCGGGGTTTTACAGCGGGCGATAGAATTTATACCTTCATAACCAAACATCCCCGTTGGCCTGGATCAATAGCGGCACTAAGGACCATTGAGATGAAAGCAAAACATTCACAAGACGGAAGTGGGCAATGTTTCTAGTGGTGGCTGCTGGTCAGGCTACACCGATGACCCTCATCGTTACACGCATGTCCCAAAACAAATAAGCCGCGCTTCGACTAGATTAGGGAAGTTTGGGGGCGAGGATTGGAGGCTGTAATCTGGGGAATTTAGCGGATTATGTTTTTACGCGGGCAGGGAGGCGGTCGACGTACGGCATCCAGTGGGTGGGGGAGAGGACAAAAGGAGTTGGACGAGAAAGCAGATGGTTGTAGTTTTGATGTTAAGCTGACGTTAACCACAGCAAGGAGAGTGGCAGCAGGGGTCACAACACTCAATGTAACGTGATCATAGACATCTTAAGTTTTCTGTGTAAAAGGTCTCCCGTTAATAACGTCTTGCATGTTGGAGATGAATGGGGGTGGGGGGTCCTTGACTTACTTAAGTGACAATATGCAACGCTGTATGGAGACTTTATGAGTTAAGATGTATATGTAACATAAGTTTTATATCTTAAAATGGTTACAACTAAATGATGACAAATGTGTTGTTGAATATTTTAGAGGAAAGGTTGAATTTTGTTATGCCATCTTGCATTACGTCATGTATGGGAGACCCTTTAAGAATGTTGTAACAAGGACTTACCCAGGGGTCTGTTTCTTGTCAGATCTATCATTCTGAAAGGGGCTGTCGTTCTGGTACCTGGGCACCGCCTCCTTCTGGTGGGCAATATTGCTGGACCTCGGACTCTGGGAGCGGTGGCCTTGACCTAGGCTGACTGGAATATGACTCTGGCGGCCTGGATTTTGACTAGAATCTACTGGACGGACACCGTCTGACCTGGGGAAGTCATAGTGCAGTCCTGCCTCCCCACCCTTGGTGCCAGAACTCTTCCTCACTGCCACGGCCTCTGATCTCCTATTAAAGTCTCGGCCCCTCTCCTGCTGCTGTCGGCCGTAGTTACTCCCCTCATCCTCTCCGTTGTGTGAGGGGCCATAAATATACATCCCGTCACTCCCACCCTCCATGTGAGCGGGGAGGTTAAAACTTGCAGCAAAATTATTCAACAAAGATTGTCGCTGCTGTTCATAGAAAGTTGCGCCCCCTGCCGCACCACTAGAGGATGTTGCAATTTCACTGTGAGGGCGGGGCTGTTTTCTCCGGGGTGAGTCCCTCAGCTTGACATTGTTCCCTCCGTTCCTGGAGGAGGAGAGGGGAACCTGGGAACTGGAGGAACGAGGTAGATGGTAGTCATCAAGGCTCCGCTGCTGGAGGCGGTGGGGGGACTGTTGGTGGAACTGTGGGCCGCCAGGGGTCTCATGGCGGGACCGCTGGGGGCTCCCACTCTGCTCTGGGGGCTGAGGTAGTGGTCGGTTGGCCATGGCGTTTTGCTGCTGTTGCTGTTGTTGCTGCAGTTTCAACTGTCAAACCAAATTTCAAGCCATTTAAAAAAAACAAATGGGCATCAAAATTAATTTTAAAAACAAAGGTTTATATATATTTTTACTTTAAAACTAAGATAGTAACCAGAGAACATAAGATCAGAAACTACCAAGCAAGTTGTTTGACATGTTAGGGTTGTGAGAATTTGAGAAAATGGAGACAGAAGTCTATAGGAAAAAAGGCTGTAGATAAAAGTCTATAGAAAAAAAGTTTGGAGTAAGTGAGGATTTCTAGACAAGGTGGTCTAAAAGAGGAGTTGTCTCATTAAGTATGTTTTGATTACACTCCCTGTAAATATTTAGTGCTGACCATGTACCAGCCAACTCTACCTGATCTTGTTGTTAGGCTGGTATCCCACCATCTCACTACACACAGTGGATGTGTGGATCACTTTCAATCATTTTGATTAAGTAAACCAACATACTTCAGAGTTAAACATTATAAACAGACAAAAGTTAAAATAATCTCTTTTAAAATCATGCATACAATACCTCCCCCCCACCCCAAAACATTAAAATGTAGAAAATTAATATCAAGAAAAAGACAAAATATTTTACAATGTTTATTTTATTTGTTTCCACAATACAGAGAAGAATGTTTTCAACCAAAGTTAGTTCTTAGTTATTGTATTCACTTAGATATTTTGTCATTTTAAAGTCACTAGCGCTATCAAAGCTTTAACCACTCAAGTAGACATATTTACCAGTGGCTTATTATGTGTAAGAAGTAAATTATAAGGAATGGATATGGCATTAAAGATAACCAAAGTTTCCATCTAGATGCTTAGCATTAAATGAAGAATTTTTATTCTTCTGTGGCCAATGTTTTTGAATCTCTGTACATCATTCACTTGATGATAGTATAAAAGTTAGCAAACAATTGTACTTGGTCTGATTCTATCTAGTGCACTTTAAAATTTAAACAGTACAATTGTACACACAAGCATGAAACAGCCAGTGTTGTCATGTAAATGTTAACAATTTAACTTTACAAGCATGAAACAGCTAGTGTTGTCATGTTGAAAAACATCTAGCATTAAATTATTAATTTTATATGTACAAGTAACAATAGGCTATTGTTTAGAAACTCTACTCTATAATCACGTGTGCCAAATGGCAAAAATTAATTAATCCTATTTTAAAATTTTTTAAAAAAGTATATCAAGCCCTGCAACCATTGTAAACCATTTCCACACCCAAAATTTTAAAAGCATGTCCTTTTAAATGAAGTGAACTATGACTTTTCTTATTGGATAACTTACATTTAAATAAAAACAGCCAGGTAACACAGGTAATTGTTGAAAAAATAAACCACAAGGAGAAAAAAACCTTAATTAAATTGCAGCAGAAAAAAAAATACAAATGAACCAAAACAGCAATCCATTAAATTTTTTTTTTAGAGAAAAATGATCAATAAATACTTAATTTAGATTAGTAGTTGCTGGAAAAGACTGAAAATCTAATGCTGAAAATTTGTAAGTAAAGATTATTATAAAAAGATGAATGAGTTGATTTATGATTGGTGTGTAAGCAACAGATGGGAACAGTGGCTGTCTATCTTGTATTGTAATTGGCATTATCAATGGTATGGCTGAATTGAATGTTGTACATATGTACGCCTACTTTTCAGAAAATCTAACGGGCACAAAATTTAGATATAGGTAAAAAATAAAAGTAAATGAAAACTCTCTTCCCTCAGTGAGTATACATGATCCCACTACCAAAATATGTAATTTCTTAGTCAAGTCCATTTAATCAACATTCACTAATTTAATTATCATCATCCATCAATTCCTTTATTTTCATCTTGAAAAATGAGGTACAATGTAGATTTACATTTCCAAATTATTTTAGAATAACATAAACAGGATATTCTGGTGAATGTCTGAATGTTTATTATTGTGGTTATTTCCCTTAGGCCATTAACAGACAGGTTTAAATAAAAAATTTCATGGTTTTAAAAATGCTGGATATTTAAAGCTAGAAATAAACTAGTATTGAAGACAGATGTATATGAAAGATATGTTACTTGATTTAAACATTGTTACGACCCCAAGTGAACTTTACCTGGGTTTGGTCCCATCGAGGAGGGCCAGGTAATTAAAATGAAATGCTTAGGCATGTTAATGCACTGGCCAGCATAGGCCGTGAGAACCTTTGGGCCGTGACGGCCACACCGGATTGGTTACCACGCTGTGGGCGATGCATACCTGGTGTCTTGGGGTCCGAGCTATTAACGTGGCCAAGAACTCGTGATTTACGGTTGGGAAAACCTGCCAGATCGCACAGGGCCGAGATGGACGGTCATGTCCTGACCTGACCTGACCTGGGGGTCAGGCTCGATTAACAAGGTTCCCACACTAGCGAGGGACGACTTGAGTACTTTAGGAGGGTAGACCGGAGACTAGGGGAACACACTCGGACAGACACTCGGGACACACACACGGAGACGGACGGACGTCTCGGATAGCTAGGTTTAGAGGAGACATGGGTCGTCTCTGTGAGCTAGTGGAAAGCCACGACATGTTTTAGACTTAGGCTAGGCTAGACGGTTAGGGACAAGTAGATTAGTCAAATTAAGGACTGTAGTTGTAGTACTTAGTTGTGTATATTTCTGATTGTTGTACTTCGGTGGCGGGTTTAACTTTAAGTGTTGTGATTTGTGGCGGAATAAATAGAGATTACTGAAGTTGGCTTTTATTTATTTTTATTTTTTTCTTCTTCTTGTTTACGATCCCCTGACTAGTTCGAAAGGATTAGAGAAGGGGGTACGTAACAATTGGTGGCTAGAGTCCGGGATAGGACAGACAACGAGTTGAATAGTTTCTTTTGATGCCATGTTCAGTTGGGGGCTCACGAGCTTGTGTTTTAGTTTTAAGTTTTAGAAGTAGTGAGAGTAAAGTTGTTCACGGAATCAGGAGAGTTTTCCAAACATTGAGTAAGTAGCGAGCTTATCACCTTTGTATTGACACTGAGTTTATTTTGCTTGATTTTTATGTTGGTCCAGTAGAGCTGGAATTTTTATTTTTATTCAGTATAGCTGGAGGGATTAATGCCCAGTATACTTGAATGTTTTTTGTGTGGTCCAGTGGAACTGGAGTGTTCGGGTTTATTCAGTACAGCTGGAGGGTCAATTCCCAGGTACGTGAATAAATTCGTAATTTTTGTTTGGTTTGCTCAGTATAGCTGGAGGGTCAATTCCCAGTATACGTGAGTAAATCGTTTGTGATCCAGTGTAGCTGGATATCTTAGTTTGGTTGGCCCAGTATAGCTGGTGTCTACCTGTTTCAAGTGTCAAAGGTGATAGCCCTACTTTTAATGTTTAAGTTAAAGTTGTTTGTTGTGAGCCACATTTTTTTTTAGTAGTTAACCGCCACCATTTAGCTGAATAAGTTCCGTAAGTGTGAATCATGGACGTAATGAGTTTTATTGAGTGTCCAACTCTAGAAGTTTTAGACAGGTTTTGTCGCGTAGAGTTGTTGCGTCTAGTTGAGGAGCTAGGACTAGAGGTTGATGTCTCGGATAGAGATAGAGTTCTACGAGATCATATTTGTGTTGAGTTGGTAAATACAGGTAGATTAGAGGAGGAGTGTCTAGACTCGATAGAATATTATGAGATCGGACGTGTTAGGGTTGAAGAAATTGAGAGGAAGTATCAAGCTAAGTTGTTAGAGATCGCGAGAGAAAAAGAGGAGAAGTTGTTAGAGATTAGGAGGGATATATTCATGTCAGAATCTTGGAAGAAAATTGACATTAAAAGTTTAGAGAAACTGTTCGGACATGAAGTTAAACTATTAGAGATCAGGAGGGAACGGGATTTACTTAGGCTATGGGAGGAGGCGCAACTTAGTGGGTTGTTTGACTTTCCAGAATCTGTCTCTGTTTTCTCTCAGGCTAGTGTAGTAGTTTCCGAGGATCGGTATAGAAATGAAGATAGTTCGTTGTCTGATAGAGTTGGTAGCGAGTTTTGTCAGTCTCAGACTAAGGCTGCCACTAGCTTTGGCTCAGTCCCTGAAGTCGACTCTAACCTAGCAGAATCAGCACAAACGTCAAAACGTGCTGATAGCGTACGAGTCGAGAGTTGTGTGCCGACAAGTACTGAAGACAGTCAGCAAGTTATTGGTTTAGATAAAATCACGGCGACCACTCTGAGGTTGACCAGTCATGAAAAGGGGCTGTCAATATCTGACCCAGTGGATACAACCACCGATGATATCCCGGCAACCACTCTGATGTTGACCAGTCATGAAAAGGGGCAGTCAATATCAGAACCAGTGGTTACAACCACCGCTGAAATCACGGTAACCACCGAGAGAGTGAATAACCATGAGAACAGGCTGTCCTCGTCTGAACCTGAACCAGTAACTGTATTTGATCAAGACCTTACTACTTGTGGTCTTGATGGCGTCATGACCTTAACTGGAGGTCATGTGGATGGTGACCCACATCTTCAGTTAGACGTGTCAACAAATCTTTTGCCAGTATCAGTAATGGACGGAATCGTTACCCATTGTCTTGGAGGTGAGCCTAACACGGGCTGTCCTCCCATGATCACAGCCGTGTTTAATTTCTCCCCGACCAAGTCCAGCAACCCAGAGGCCATGACCTCACCTGGAGGTCACGTGGATGGTGTTCTACATCCAGAGATAGACGAGTCAACGAATCTTTTGCCAACATCAGTAACGAACAAAATCGTTACCCATTGTCTTGGAGGCGAGCCTAACACGGGCTGTCCTCCCATGATCCCAGCAGTGTTTGATTTCTCCCCGACCAAGTCCAGCAACCTGGAGGCCATGACCTCACCTGGAGGTCACGTGGATGGTGTTCTACATCCCGAGTTCGAGGAGACAATGAATCTATTGTCAGGCTTCCCTCCCCTTATCACGGAGGTGATTTACGGTTCTCCGACCGACCCGGTCAAGACCAACCACCTGGAGACGGTGACCTCAGCGGGTCACGCTGTTTCCATCAACCGAGGGTGCGTACATGCGAGCGCATACCCCATCGCTTTCACGGAGACGGGGCATGTAATTGTTCCCTCTTTGTATGACTCGATGTTCAGGATTAACATCGTGTCAAAACATGGCTACATTGCAAGAAGTCCTGTGAAACCACGCCTTATGTGCGAGTTGTTGTTGTTGTGGACGGACAATAACTCTGTCACTAAAATTGTGCTGCGCCGGTATAAAGTTCGGCTTAAGTTTTATGTTTACGGACTCATGATGACCCGAAAGACGGAAAACTAATTTGTGTTTCAAACCTATTAGAACTGTTCCCAAGATAGACTGTTTCATGTTTTCCCAGGATGCAAGTGTTCTAATCAAAATGAACTGTTTTCAGGCTTAAAGAATGTACCCTTTTACATGTCTTGTTTGAAAAAAAAATATTTGTTATTGATGTTTTACATGCTGTTGAATTCGTGACAGTTTTTAATTGTATTGACAAGTTTTGTTGACTGATGACGTAACTATCAGTAAAACGAAGACTGTTGGTTTTCAATCTTAGCATTATTTGCGACAGTGACACATGTGTTGCAGATTTGCTGTTTTAATTACTTTGATGTCTATGTTTGATGACATTGTGTTTGGGGTATTTAGTCAAACTTGTTATTGTGACTAAATCATCCACGTTTCTTATCTTTTTAGTAATGATTATGTTAAATGGATTTAGTCCCATTTAGGTTTATTCTGGGACTTTTGAGGAATTGTGAGATTGGTATGGTTGTCTAGTAAGAGATGTTCAATTAATTCACCATGTGGTGGCGAATTAATTTCTTGAAGGGTGGGGGTGTTACGACCCCAAGTGAACTTTACCTGGGTTTGGTCCCATCGAGGAGGGCCAGGTAATTAAAATGAAATGCTTAGGCATGTTAATGCACTGGCCAGCATAGGCCATGAGAACCTTTGGGCCGTGACGGCCACACCGGATTGGTTACCACGCTGTGGGCGATGCATACCTGGTGTCTTGGGGTCCGAGCTATTAACGTGGCCAAGAACTCGTGATTTACGGTTGGGAAAACCTGCCAGATCGCACAGGGCCGAGATGGACGGTCATGTCCTGACCTGACCTGACCTGGGGGTCAGGCTCGATTAACAAGGTTCCCACACTAGCGAGGGACGACTTGAGTACTTTAGGAGGGTAGACCGGAGACTAGGGGAACACACTCGGACAGACACTCGGGACACACACACGGAGACGGACGGACGTCTCGGATAGCTAGGTTTAGAGGAGACATGGGTCGTCTCTGTGAGCTAGTGGAAAGCCACGACATGTTTTAGACTTAGGCTAGGCTAGACGGTTAGGGACAAGTAGATTAGTCAAATTAAGGACTGTAGTTGTAGTACTTAGTTGTGTATATTTCTGATTGTTGTACTTCGGTGGCGGGTTTAACTTTAAGTGTTGTGATTTGTGGCGGAATAAATAGAGATTACTGAAGTTGGCTTTTATTTATTTTTATTTTTTTCTTCTTCTTGTTTACGATCCCCTGACTAGTTCGAAAGGATTAGAGAAGGGGGTACGTAACAACATGATTAACTAACCCCAAGGATAAAACTATTCAGCCACTTACCTGCTCTTTAACAAACTGATCCACATTAGGATGCATATCATTGCCATTAGACATGGCTAGACGTTTATCTATCTCATTTTTTAAGGCAGTGACAGGTGAACCTGAAACACAAAATTTCAACTATCAGCTTTGTCTCATTTTTACTTAGATCTCCTCAGAATTTGGCTCATTATCCTAAAGTTGTTACAAATTTTACTTAGATTTCTTCCATATTTACTACTGAATACCCTGGTATCAAATTTTACTTTAATTTTTTTAGTACACCTTTTTTACTTAGATTTCTCTCTGTTCTCAATTTGTACTTAAATTTTACATCAATAATAGATATATATCCCGTTCTTAAATTTGACATCGCGTTCTTGAAAAGTCAGTAAATATCCCTTCATCCAAAGACAGCAGCAAAAGCTGATTTTATAAAGTGGTTTTGTCTTTTAGCAACAAAATTTCACACTAAAATCTCACTATAAAACTTTGAATGCTTTAATAAAATTAACATATATTTTGGATATGATCCAAAATTATTCTACTCAAAACAAAAACAATATTACTAAAATAAAGCCAGAAACTAAAAAAAATCTCTAAAAACATGTTCTCTCCTGAACACCAATTCAACCAAGCTGTCTACTGAGATACCCAAGACCGGAGTCAAACATACCTTTTAATTTAGAGTTTCTTGCTTCTAATGATTCTTTGATTGCCATGGCAGAAAGGGGGTGGGGTGAAGAAGGCACTGAGTTAGATGAAAGAGCTGCCTGTCAAACAAAAGTAACCAAAGTTGCATGTAAGTATAAGGGCAGAACTAAAATAACATAATAGGTACATATATGAGAGCAAAACTAAGATAATATAACAGGTAAAGACAGAACTAAGACAATAGGCACATATATGGGGTAAAACTAAGATAATATAACAGGTACATATATAAGGTCGTGGGGCAGCATGGTTGAATGGTAGAGTGATTGGCTGCTAGCCTGACATTCTCGAGTTCAGATCTCAGTTCTGACTTGTAACTGTAGGACATCCCTGAGTCCACCCAGCTCTGGGCACAGTACTGACAACACAATCCCTTCATATGCCAAGGTTAAAAAACAGGAACTCTACTTCATCTGCCCAATAGATCACTAGGTCTAAAGAGGAACTTTACTTATACATGTGGGCAAAACTAAAACAGGCTCATACAAGGGCAGAACTAAAATAACACAGTTACATACGAGGGAACAGCTAAAGCAATATAATAGTTAAGTTACACATGATGCCAGATCTAAAACAGCACACTATTCATAATGAAGGGCAGAACTAAAACAATACAAGAGCACAACTAAAGAAACATTACTGTTACATACAAATGTTGAGCCCATACATTTGTGTATTATAAAATGCTGAGAGTTGAAACACATGAAAAACAAATTGTCTGCCTGTAATACCTGAGGTGGCACAGAATTACGCTTGAAGGGTGACGAAATGGGTGGAGTTTGGCGGGATGGGATTTCACTGCGCCTGTTGACTGCTGCTGAACTGTTGGAACTTCTGTCCGCAGGCCTGCTGTGTGAGAACCCCTGAGTTTCAACTTGGATCTTGGCCTGTGACATTACAGGGGAAACATGGAATACCATTTACCATCAGGGATGTACGACACATTGTGTATGGTTTTGGACATAATTTTAATTGGAAAATAATTATCCCATAAAAAGTTGTAATTAATAATTATGTATGTGTGATGTGATGGGGGGGGGGGGGGGGGGGGGAAGGTAGAGATGGGGTCAAACGTACATTATGCTATGTGGGTATTCACAAAATGAGAATTGGCATTTATTTTGTATTTTTTTTTTTAGAACAGAAAGGTGGCAAAACATCTTAATTATGTTTGTTATGGGGAGGGGTATGGTCTTAATTTTTCATTTTATTTTGGTGCTTTAATTTTAACTCCTCTAGAGAGATTTTCATTTTAAAGCCTTTATAAACATTCCAATATCATTTTGAGCTTTGTTTCAGTCCTACAGAATCTAAATCAGTCCCAAAGAACCTATACCACAGTCCCAATCAACCTACATCACAGTCATACAGAACCTATACTTCAATCCCAAAGAACCTATACTTCAATCCCAAAGAACCTATACTTCAGTCCCAAAGAACCTATACTTTAGTCCCAAAGAACATATACCACAGTCCTACAGAACCTACACGTCCTACAAAACCTACATCAGTCCTAAAAAACTTACCCAGCTTTTCTTCTCTGATTGAGCTGGCTCATTCATCTCTTCTGACTGCTTTCTTCTCTCCATTCTGACCTGGGCTCGCTCTGAAAATGGCGTGGGGGTAGCAATTTCATTCAGCTTTTTCTGAAGGGCATTTTTGGCTTCTTTTTCAATCTCTCGAAATTTGGCTTGCTGTTGCTGTACCTGAGGCAGAAGGTTACAGATGTTTCATTAAAAAAAAACATAATCAACATGATGATAACTTTTGCTGTTCCGCAGAGGCATAGCGACCCTTCCCGCCGCCCGGGGACAAACTTTTGATTTGCACCCCCCCCCTCAAACTTTCAATTTGGCGCCCCCCATATGGTCGGCGCCCAGGGACATATGTCCCTCCCCCCTTCGCTACGCCTCTGCTGTTCCGTTGTGTGTATGGGAGGAGAGGTAGGTGGTTAGTGGTGAGGGCATACAAAATGATTATAAATGGTTAAGTAGGTGATCTGATTTGTCCATGTGCTGTGAATCCACATATATTGTAAGTCTTGTTGACAAGAATGGATTGAAAATTTCAATTTTTAGCTATTCTTAAAATCTCTATTATAAAGACAGAACCATCCAATTATAACTAGTCCAACATGTGAGCTAACCTATCATGTAAACCAGCCAATCACAGCCAGCTTAGCATGTGGACTAGCCAATCACAGCCAGCCTATCATGAGAATCAGCCAATCACAGCCAGCTTATCATGTGGACTAGCCAATCACAGCCAGCCTATCATGAGAACCAGCCAATCACAGCCAGCTTATCATGTGGACTAGCCAATCACAGCCAGCCTATCATGTAAACCAGCCAATCACAGCCTCGCTTATCATGTGGACTAGCCAATAACAGAAGGCTATCAAGAGAACCAGCCAATCACAGCAAGGCTATCATGTGAACCAACCTGCTGTTCTATGATCTCATGGAATGTTGGAGGTTTCTTAGTTTCTTGGTATGTAGACTTGAAAGCTTCACCAATGATTGAAATCAGGTCTTCTGCCTAAAGTGGGGAAAACAAATCAGTGGATTTAGATGAAAATGTAAAATCATCTGATGTGATACAGCAATATCACGTCAATACATCTGGTGAAGAGACATGAATGGTGAAACAGTAATACTATTAGAAAATAGTAATAATATGTTTTTATAACCAAAGTAATGCTGGGTGTATTGAAATAATATCAATCTAGAGATACAGTCATACATAATCTATTTAATTGACTAATTTCGTCTGTCATGTAGCTCGACACATCCAGAGATGTGCATATACAGCATGAAACAAACAAAAATTAACTAGACTATCATATTTTTTGTCCTAGTACATAAGTATCTGCCAAACCAATAACTATACACAGAATAGTCCTTTAATATGGACACTATTCCCACATTGCATAAAACTTGATCCATAATAAGTTTGTTTTAAGAGCGACCTAGCAGAGATTACTTAACATTATTTCTCTTTATTGTGTACTTAGATATACTACACAAGGGAAATAAAAAATACTGACTTCAATATGCAAGAGTTTAGAGTCAAACGTCAATAGAATTAATGTAAACGCTAGAACGAAATGGCTTATAATCCAACGTTAGACACGACACAAAACGGGAAAGATATCCTAGTGTAGCCTTCACTGTGCACATGACTAGACTTAGAATAATTTTCTCATCAACGATTGCCACCAAAACACTCCAATAACATACCTGAGACCGGCAACCAATCAAGACGGCACAGGGCGGGTCACGTGACAATGGAGGTGATAGCTCGCGACCCGACAGAGACAAACAAGTTGATTTGGAGAAATGTTAGGAGGAGAGCAGACGACATAACTTTTGGCTTTTGGCGGGGTTCGAGTCGGCAGGACAGCACACATTCACACACGGCATACATTTAGTTTTAGTGAGTTAAACTGCCATAATATTTAGTGGTATACGCGAGTGATCCCTGCCACGATTTAAATTTAAACATCCAACTTCTTGACTTCAGGAGAATAGTTAGGGTGTAGCGAACGCCACGCCTCTGTCCATTATAACAGAGGCGGCAAAGTCAAGGGGCCAATTGGTCGCTGAACTATGCTGCTGTCTTTACCTCAGCCGCAGTATAAAACAAACACCCCCCCCCCCCCCCCCCCCCACCGGCCTGAGGTATCATCTGACAAGAAAATTAGGTGGCCTCAAACGCGAGTCAAACAGAAGATGACGTTGGGTGCCCGGCAATAAGAGAAGGCTGGCTTTTGGTTTAAAGGAAGGTAGCGTTTAAAAGGCGCGGTTTGTTAAAGCAGGTTAGGTCTCCAGTGGCTGCTGTTTGCTTGCAGGGCAAATATTTGGGGTACAGGTGATGCGTTTTGTTGCAACTGGCACACATGTGTATGGTCAACTGGCGCGTGTTGACGTAATCAAGTAGAGTATATTGATGTGGTCAAGTGGCGAATACTGACGTGGTCAATGGACGCATACTGACGTGGTCAAGTAACGCATACTGAAGTGGTCAAGTGAGGCATACCGACGTGGTCAAGTGGCGAATAGTGACGTGGTCAAGTAACACTTTCTGACGTGGTCAAGTGAGGCATACTGACGTGGTCAAGTGAGGCATACTGACGTGGTCAAGTGAGGCATACTGACGTGGTCAAGTGAGGCATACTGACGTGGTCAAGTAACGCATACTGACGTGGTCAAGTAACGCATACTGACGTGGTCAAGTGAGGCATACTGACGTGGTCAAGTAACGCATACTGACGTGGTCAAGTAACGCATACTGACGTGGTCAAGTAACGCATACTGACGTGGTCAAGTGTGACGCATAATGACATGGTAAAGTGGCGAATAGTGACGTGGTCAAGTGACGCATACTGACGTGGTCACGTAACGCATACTGACGTGGTCAAGTGTGACGCATAATGACGTGGTAAAGTGGCGAATAGTGACGTGGTCAAGTGACGCATACTGACGTGGTCAAGTGTGACACATACTGACGTGGTCAAGTGACGCATACTGACTAGATCAAGCCGCATTTTGAGAAAGTATACAACTTCCTACGATGCGCAGTTACATAGTGAGTGACGCACGGCTAGTGACGCCTAGCAGCAGGTGTCACCATGTTTACACCCAGTACAGCTAGTGACGCTAAGGTGAGTCTGGTCAACCAACTTACACGGTCCAGTAAAGCACAATGGCATCTATGTCCAGCTAGGGGTCATCCATTTATGACGTCCACATTTTTTTTTGCATTTTGGACCCCCCCCCCCTCCCCCCGTCCACAAAAATCCACTTTTTTTCCTTATACAAGTCCATATGCGTCCACAAAAGTCAGCTTTTTTCGGGACACCCCCCCCCCCCCCCGCGTATGGACGTCATAAATGGATGACCCCCTACCCCAATAACTAAGGCTGACCAAAACTTCTAGCACCAGAGGCGTAGCTAGGGGGGGGGCGGGGGGGGCGGCCGCCCCGGGCGCCGACCCTATGGGGGCGCCAAAAGGGGTGGGAAAATTTTTTTAAAGCTGATTTTATGCTGCAGTTTTGAATTATAAACTGTCTAAGTTAAGAAATGTAATGGCTACACGCATTTACATACTGATTTAACTGTTTTCTATCTTGATTTCTTAATGTAAAACATATGCTCTTAAGAAACAGTGACCGGCAAAACCGCTTTGAAGCTTTTCCTAGATGGGGGGGGGCGCTTTTTCGAGACTTAAAACGGAAGAATTTACACTAGATTGTTGAGTCGATAAACGTTACCACTATTAAAAGAAACCAATTGTATTAAAACGTATTGTACGATTGTTGAATTGTAAAATACGTTAGTGACTTTTATCAAGATGGTGCAGGGGGGGCGCTTTTAGGCTAAATAAAATAGCAAAATTACACAGGATTCTGAGTAAACAACCTTTAGCTCTCAGAAAGAAACGAATTGTACTGTGCATTGTATAATTGTGTAACATTTAAAAAAAAAAAAGTTAGTTACGTTAAAAACCGCTCTACAAACTTTGTCCAAGATGGTTGTGATGAGTGTGTGTGGGGGTGGGGGGGGGGGGGGGGGGGGCGCTTTTTTCGCTAACAAAAATCGCAAGTATTTGTACTGGATTGGTGAGTAGATAACTCTCTTAACACTTAGTAAAGAAACCAAGTGTATTAACGCGTAATGTACAATTTCAATAGCCAGTTTTGTTAAAAAAAAACGCGACTAGTTCTTTGTAAGATTCTTACGATTCTCTCAACTTCAACGTGAGAGATCAGATACTTTTGATCAGTGTTTCTTCCAGACTTTTTTCTCCGGGGGGGGGGGGGGGCACTTGAAATCTTCGGGGGGAGGGGGAGGCGGTAAACTTTCTTCGGGGGGGGGGCGGACACTGTTAAAAGTATATATTTTCTATATATAAATTATATAAATTTCATTTCGTTCGGGGGGGGGGGGGGGGGGGGGGGCGTAAAATTTTTTCCGGGGGGCTTCGCCCCCCCCGAAAAGATGCCTGGAAGAAACTGTGTGCGAGAAGGCAGGGCAAATCTGCGAAATCCAAGACTACGAGCTGTTAACATCCGTTGGATTCCAGTTTGTTTTCTCTAGCTTGTTTTGTCATACCATCAACCAATCAACGAAATACCCATGTCGTATTCCAATGTGAACAATAAATATTTCTGATAACTTCTTCTTGTATGTCACTTGTGTGTCCTTACTCTAACAAACTTCGAATCCAACTATGTACCATATCACAACAGAGATCGTTCAAAACTAGAACATAAAAGGCTGGTCTAAACATATTAGCGTTAGCTACAAACTACCCTCTAACACAGATCAGGCTTATTTTTTTTTACTGACATTACTAATCTTTCGCAAAAAAAGTTAAACGCATCTTAATGGGAATTAAATTGTCGTAAAGTTTTAAGGAATGAAAATCATACAATGTAATTATTAAACCTTGTCCGGACTGTAGCATACACGCTTACACACACGCTTACACACACGCTTACACTCTTACCCACACACAAGCTTATATATAAACACACTATCACACACACATAATTATACACACACACACACACACACACACACACATATATATATATATATATATATATATATATATATATATAAGGGGGGGGGCGCCAAATTGAAAGTTCGCCCCGGGCGCCGGGAAGGGTCGCTACGCCTCTGTCTAGCACCCGGTTATTTCATTGGTAATGCGATTTAACTGTATCGCTTGATATACACTGCTCCGTTGTTAAACTGTAGTAACCTCAGTCTCATCACCACGCCTTCTCTACTCACACACCACAACACAGTTTACAAAACGTAAAGAAGTACACGCGATGAAAAATTGTGATTACAAAAAGCGAAGAAACGAAACAGGCAAGGCAGGGAGGACCTCTCGCGCCAATATGCTCAAGGCAAACATAACAAAGTCTCGGTGACATAAGTTAAGACACGGTCTCCCTAGAACAACACACTCTGTCTAAACAAACACACACACACGGCAGCACACTGCCAACGGGAATCCCCGCTAAATTTGAAATGAACATGGGAAGAATATTCGAACAAGCCGTACTCATGTCTTCAGTCCTTAACTTCACTAGAACCAAATTTCTCAACTATAATTTAAAATTAATCTTCAGTTCGTACCTAGACCAAAACTGAATCATTATGCCGTGACAAGACTATAACTGAAATTCTAGTCCGTACCGAGATCATAAGTAAATCCTTTAGTATGTACCAACACTATAACTGAACCCTTATGCCATGCCAAGAATATAACCGAATCTTCATCAGCATCTACACTATAACCGAATCTCTAGTCTGTACATAGAACGTAACTGAATCTTTATTTCGTACCAACACTAAAACCAAAATTAGAGTCCTTACCTACACTAAAATTCCATCTTCAGTCCGTCCTTAGACAATAACCGAATCATTTGTCCGCACCTAGACTATACCTAAAACTGAATCTTCAGTCCATACTAAGTCTAAAACTATAACAAAATCATTAGTTAGTACCAACACTAAAACAAAATTTTCAGTCGGTACCTAAAATATAATTTAATCTTCAGTCCAAATTTAGACCATAACCGAATCCTGAGTCCGTACATAAACTACAACTGAGTCTTTACCATCACATGTAACTCCAATTCGATACCCCCAATCACGCAAACCAAAAAGTAAAGTACCATATGAAGATGATTGCATATAAAGAAAAAACGATCTCATCCATACAAGTGAAATCGTGCCAATAAGAGCACACCTTTCTTATCAAGGCCGGAGCAAACAAAATCCAAACGCGTCAAGAGATATGTGACACAGGCTTTAGACCATCCCACATTAAACGCCAACTTGTGCGCTCATTGAAATCTATTCTAGTGTCCCATCACGAGCGTGTGTTTATGGGCCCCAGCAGGTAAGGGACGGGTGTGATCGGTCCTGCTCTATCTGCCCTGCTATATCTGCCCAGATATGCAGGAGACATTCGTGTCCCCTGCCTGCAGGCTAGACTTGAAGAAAAAACCTCTTATTTAAAATACAGTTGGATCACAGGTAAGTGGGAATACACAGAGGGATGGGAAATAACGACGTTTTATGTGGGCAGGGGGAGGGGGCAAGGGTGGGGGGTGTGAAGAGTTAAGGGAAGGAAGGTGTAGAAAGGGTGGAAGAGCTTTGGGCTTAATATTTAAATATATAGACACAACAAAAAGGAAATTTACAGTATAACAGATTTTTTAGTTTCACATATGTACTGTGATTAAAAGATTTTGAATCAGAGTTGCATTGATTTCATCTCCTGTCAAGAACTGAATATTTTTTTTAGAAGTCAACAAAAAAGATCTACTGTTAAGATCAATGCCCAAAGCTTCAATAAATTAGCCACTGCATTTATCCACCACTACATTAACTACCAAGATCTACCTTACTGTAAGATATTAGAAGTAAATGAAACATAGTTTATCAATAAACTAGTTATGTTATGTTAATTTCAAGGATTTACTACTGTAAAAAGAGTTTGAAACTAGTTTCCAAAACAATTACACATGTATCAAATTTTAAGGCAAAAAGTTTATTTCTAAATATATAATGTTGGATTTGCTGGAAAAAAATGAACAGAAATAACTACATCTCTGCTAGCATCAAATCTCTGCTAGCATCAAGACTTGGTCAACCTACATTCTCCCCCACCCCTTGCTTACCTCTTCAGGTGTATCTGTAACAAAAGCGTGGCAATATTGCACCTCAGCACTAGTCTTGGGTTCCCTGGCTAGGAAGGAGAACTGGCAGTATTCAGGGTCACATGTAGCATACCAGATCCTCTTGAGGGAGTGATCCATGAACACATTCTGATGACAAAATATCTCATTATAATTTTTTTTTTAAATTTTTCCTTTAAACAACTAAAAACTCTAGTAAAAATAAAGCATCAGGTTTTAAAATAAAATACTACAAGAGATTATAATAACTGAAAAAAAATTGCTGCTAATTAGTTTACTAAAAAAATACCCACTAATTACTAAATCTTTCAGCATATTGTTTTCCCTATTGACTTCAACTCAATATATTTGAAAGACTTACTAAAATGTAATAATTATTAGAGCTCAAACTACTTGGTGGGCAGGATAAAAGACCTGGTTACACACATTTTGAAAGGTTTATTTTTTGCCTTCTTGAATAGCTCTACTGAATAGTTCTACTAAATGGCTTTAATAAATGGTTTTGATTGTTTCTGATGGCTTTACTGAATGATTACACAAAATGGCTTTACTGAATGGTTCTACTCTCTCCCATTAATGGCTCAAGTTTTAGCTCTTTAGCCAGGTTGACTGGTTAAGAATTGAGGATTTCTCTGACCCATGTTACCAGCTGCTAGACACATGGTCTTCTACCAGGCTTATGAGTCTTCACCTCTGAACTGAACCACCTGGTGTGGACATGAAGGGCTGTACAGTCATGGAACATCTTAAGATCTCAAGCTTGTAACTTTTGGGTTAGCAAGTGCATGGTTTACCTCTAGGCCACGCAGTCCCCATTAATGGTTCTGCTAAATGGTTCTAGTGAATAGCTTTATTGGTAACTCTACAAAAAGTAGCCAGTGACCTTGCTGCCCTACATGCCCACTGACCAACAGACTTACATTGTTCTCCTTGAGTATAACCCTGACACCATGATTAGAGATGATCAAATTCACTGCCTTGCTGTCCTTAGCATTCTGGAGAAGATATTCAAACAAGGGTTCATTTAAATAATTAGAGAGATTGCAATCAGCACATTACTTTAGATGCTTCAGTATGATAATGGTCTTAAAATTATTTTTTTTATTACACACAATGATATAAAAAGATTATACGATTCACTGTCTTATTTGTTAAATTTTTATTATTTTGTAAATGTATTGAAAAATCATTGTGGGTTCAATAAAAAAAAAATTGATAGTTATTAATTCATTTATTTAGTTACACCTATTTGAAAAGGGTTCGTAAAGATCTTTTTGAAATCACACCAACAAAACTATTTCAGGAACAAATCTTATGTCGCCTGCACATAGAAGGGACCACAAACCTTACGGTAACTAATTAGATTAAAAAGTTAATGTTACGTTACACGCACTGCATTACTAATTTATCAGGGGCGATGGTCTATACCAGGGGTCGGCAACCTGCGGCTCGCGAGCCGCATGCGGCTCTTTTGATATCAAGATGCGGCTCTCCAGCTCCTTGAACAAATACTAATAATCTTAATAAAAAAATAAAATGTTTGAAATAAAAAAAATGTTAGTGGCTCTTTAAAACCAGGGAAATTTTGAAAATTGTAACTTTTGGCTCTTCAGCTTCAAAAGGTTGCCGACCCCTGGTCTATACGAAACGAGGGGAGGTAAGCACGAGAGTAAATTGTTTTTAAGCAGTTGTCTCTCTTAGATAACTTAGATATTTTTTCGTCTGACCTTGATAGGAAAGTTATAAAAAAATATTTCTAGTGTGGTTTCCTAACGTATGTTAGTACATTCATTATCAAACCATAAACAAATAAAAACTAGTATTATAAATTTACATTGAATTTGCTATTTGAGGATTATTTTATCTATACAAAACTCAATCATTTAAATCTGTATCAAAGAAAGATTTTTTTTTTTAGAAAAATACGGTCAACTTAACACTAGTTATTTTTCTCGAGATTATGATCAGTACAAACACGTAATCGCATGTAACTTCTGAGTTCAAATTAATTAGTATTTAAAGTACCAAAACGACAGGAGCTTGTAATCATAACGAGTGTCAAGCGGTAATAAAAAAATAATGCTACCACTATCAGAGTCTTGCCGTAATAAAAAAAAATCCCAACAGGTTGGCCTAGTCTGGCAGGAGATGCTGTGAGTCATCACCTGGGCCGTCGTGTTGGACCAACAGTGGGAATCTGTATTTATGAGCCAGAGAACTATTCTACAATACACAATGCTCACATCACACAACTCTTGGTTGTTATTACAACCATTTCTCACCCTGTTATACGTGAAAGTGATGAAATGATATATGTCTATCTATCTATCTATCTATTTATCATCTATCTATCTATCTATCTATCTATCTATCTATCTATCTATCTATCTATCTATCTATCTATCTATCTATCTATCTATCTATCTATCTATCTATCTATCTATCTATCTATCTATCTATCTATCTATCTATCTATCTATCTATCTATCTATCTATCTATCTATCTATCTATCTATCTATCTATCTATCTATCTATCTATCTATCTATCTATCTATCTATCTATCTATCTATCTATCTATCTATCTATCTATCCATCTATCTATATGCTTATATATACACATTTATATATATATATATATATATATATATATATATATATATATATATATATATATATATATATATATATATATCCACACACATACACACATAATACTTATATATACACACACACATATATATATATATATATATATATATATATATATATATATATATATATATATATATATATATATATATATATATATATATATATGTATATATGTATATATCTATAACTGCTGCCGTAGATTTCAGTTACGTGCTGACGTTTCACCTAATCCTCTAACATAGCCTACATCAAAGCTGGGTCACAGTGACACAACAAAGGGGCCATAACTCGATCCAAACATTCACAGCCCAGAGTTGCCAAATTGGAAACTTTTACACCCTTCTCTTAAATATTACCAAACAAGATCGATAAGTCAGGAAAAAAAATGGGTGGGTGGGGGTTGGGGTGAGCCAATCCTTTGACAAACACACGTACACGTATTTTCCGATGAACACATCTCCCATCGGACCTGGCCAGGCATGAAGCGTGCGAGTGAGATCAAACAGCTATCGCTCAGGTAAACTTGATCTAAATACCTGTTGTTTTCATCCACACAGCAGTGTCGGCATTTTTTTTGCACCTTTCCCCCCCCCCCCCCCCCTCACACAAAGAACAACAACTGGAGCAAGGACTGTAACTATTTCCTCCCCGCACCTAGCTAACACACTCAGCAAAAATCCCCCCCCCCCCGCCCTCTCCCCAACAAATCTCACCTAATAATATTTCCGACTCACTTTGAAGGGGGAGGTCAGGCACGTGTAGACGTCTGCCAACACTGATAAACTTCCGTATCTCAGACACTATTTCAGATAGCCACTTTTTACCCCCGTTATCTTTCATGCGGTCACGTGGTATGGGAAAAAAATTAACACGGGAAATGCTCGCTGTCTCTCTCTATATATATACCACCACACCCCTTCCATACTCATCACACATTACAAAATGGTCGTCTGATAATTAAAAAAAAAATTCAACCGACAATCACCTAACCCTCTACCATAGTACGATGAAGTTTTCGCAATTTTCTTTTAAATATTTCATTATTTATGAAACCAGTTTGATATTCGATCCTTAACGAAAGTCTGTCTGTTGAGTTTATTTTGGGAGACACTACATTTGAGGGGATCAAGCGATACCCCGAGAGAACAATTATTATTAATAAAAAATGAAGAAATACTTCATTAAATCTAACTACCGTTAACAGTTATTGCGGTAAAAATATGGGACAAATATAACTGACAATACAAGAAGCGAACTTGTCATAAAATTAAAGAAAAAAAAACTTGGCGCACTAGAAACACGTCACTGAATGATATGACAAAATATTAAGTACACACAAAAACGTAAATAACACGACACAAAATGACGTATGCAACAACGAGAGATGACGATGACAACACCAGATAAAAGGGCACGACACAAAATGACGTATACAACAACGAGAAATGACAAAGACCACCACCAGACAAAATGACGTAACATAAAATACGTATAATATCAACGAGAGATGACAATGACAACAACAGACAAAATGACATGACACAGAATGACGTATGCAACAACGAGAGATATGACAATGACGACACAAGACAAAATGACGTATACATCAACGGATGCCAAAGTCACAAGACATCATGACAAGACACAAACAATGGATGCCGATGAGGCCACCAGTTAACATGACGTGTACACTGACCCTCATGTGCTCAAGCTGTGCCTCCATCTGTCGTTCCCTCGCCTCTTTGTCACTCCCAGACACCGAAAATGTCCCGATGTACTGCAGAGAGAACAAATTTAATCAATACCATTGTTCACACAAACACATTCATTATCGTGGTTGTAACAGACAAAACTCACACCAAGAACTCATCAAATAATTTAAAAGTAAATCAACAATGTAACACCCATCATTTTGGTAAAGCCACATAGAAATCTAATGTTATAATTCTAATACTAGTTTTGTTTTATTTTATTCCTCTGGCTCTACACTGTGTATTTTTATGCTCATCTCGTTGAGACAATTTTGTAATCAACATTGCCTAATGGCGAGATGCAAATTGACAGGGGAGGGTGGAGAGAGGAGAAGAGGGGTGTGATGAGGATGCGAGAATTAGAAATAGGGTGAAAGAGAAACACGAGACAAAGGTCAAGGACGATGCCACATACTGGACATCCATGTACACGTATAGATGGCTAAAAATTAGCCCGATCAATACCAGAGACACGGAAAATATTTCCGAACGGAAATGAAGTTGGTGTGAATGGGTGGAGTAAAATAAGGGGCGGCGTTTTTTTTTTAATGGGTATAGATACTGGAGAAGGGGAGACATGGAGGGGACGGGATAGAATATGGAGATGGGTAAACTATCTGTATCTTTAAGTGTAGGGACTTTGTATTGTGTGTAGGGTAACATTACTGTGTGTAATGTCAGCTAGCACCACTGTAATGTCATGTAGCACCACTGTAATGTCATGTAGCACCACTGTATGTAATGTCAGGTAGCATCACTATGTAATGTCAGGTAGCAGCACTGTAATGTCAGGTAGAACCACTGTAATGTCAGGTAGAACCACTGTGTGTAATGTCATGTAGCACCACTGTATGTAATGTCAGGTAGCATCACTATGTAATGTCAGGTAGAACCACTGTATGTAATGTCAGGTAGAACCACTGTAATGTCATGTAGCACCACTGTATGTAATGCCAGGTACCACCACTGTATGTAATGTCAGGTAGCACCACTGTAATGTCAGGTACCACCACTGTAATGTCAGGTACCACCACTGTAATGTCAGGAAGCTACACGGTAATGTTATGTAGCACCACTGTGTAATGTCAGGTAGCACCACTGTAATGTCATGTAGCACCACTGTATGTAATGCCAGGTAGCACCACTGTATGTAATGTCAGGTACCACCACTGTAATGTCAGGAAGCTACACGGTAATGTTATGTAGCACCACTGTGTAATGTCAGGTAGCACCACTGTAATGTCATGTAGCACCACTGTATGTAATGTCAGCTAGCACCACTGTATGTAATGTCAGGTAGCACCACTGTATGTAATGTCAGGTAGCAGCACTGTAATGTCATGTACCACCACTGTAATGTCAGGTAGCACCACTGTATGTAATGTCAGGTAGCACCACTGTATGTAATGCCAGGTAGCTCCAATGTATGTTATGTCAGGTAGCATCACTGTAATGTCAGGTACCACCACTGTAATGTCAGGTAACAGCACTTTGTGTAATGTCAGGTAGCACTACTGTAATGTCAGGTAGCACCACTGTAATGTCAGGTAGCACCACTGTAATGTCAGGTAGCACCACTGTAATGTCAGGTAGCACCACTGTAATGTCAGGTACCACCACTGTAATGTCAGGTAGCACCAATGTAATGTCAGGTAGCACCACTGTAATGTCAGGTACCACCACTGTATGTAATGTCAGGTAGCACCACTGTAATGTCAGGTACCACCACTGTAATGTCAGGTAGCACCAATGTAATGTCAGGTAGCACCACTGTATGTAATGTCAGGTAGCACCACTGTATGTAATGTCAGGTAGCACCACTGTAATGTCAGGTAGCACCACTGTTATGTCAGGTAGCACCACCGTTATGTCAGGTAGCACCACTGTTATGTCAGGTAGCAGCAATGTGTGTAATGTCAGGTAGCACCACTGTAATGTCAGGTAGCACCACTGTAATGTCAGGTAGCAGCACTGTAATGTCAGGTAGCACCACTGTGTGTAATGGCAGGCAGTAACACTATGTGTCGGGGTAGCACGACACTTGTACTGATAGTGTTAGAACCGACAAAACTGAAGACACGGGAAGCCATGCACGTACGCACTCACTCACGCACACACACATACACTCACGCACGCACACACACGCGCGTTTCCATCCATTTCTTTCAATTATCGAGACACTCAGCTCAATTTTGGCACGAGATTCAGAAATCCATTGGATTTTAAACCTGCGTCTCACAACTCTATTCCCACCACCATCTAAAAAAATATGTTTCACGTTGCTTGTTTTTTTATTTTATTTTTTTTTTAATCACAATTTCGTTATTTTCTGAAGTTATTGATAAATTGAGTTACCTCTCCTTTTGACATACCACGTAGGTTACACCGTGTGGCATTTGGTTATTTTATATGAGTTAAAATTAAAATATTTATACAAAACAATTTGAACAATGTAGCATGAAACCAGGCAATGGAGGCAAAAAGTCTGAACAAGAAATAAGGAGTCATTTTGAGAAAATGGTGGAGGTGGAGAATTATGAACATGGAATATGGGAGGCCATTCTGAAGGAGCAATATGGGAGGCCATTCTGAAGGAGCAATATGGGAGGCCATTCTGAAGGAGCAATATGGGAGGCCATTCTGAAGGAGCAATATTGGAGGCCATTCTGAATGAGCAATATGGTAGGCCATTCTGAAGGAGCAATATTGGAGGCCATTCTGAAGGAGCAATATGGGAGGCCATTCTGAAGGAGCAATATGGGAGGCCATTCTGAAGGAGCAATATGGGAGGCCATTCTGAAGGAGCAATATGGGAGGCCATTCTGAAGGAGCAATATGGCAAGCCATTCTGAAGGAGCGATATGGGAGGCCATTCTGAAGGAGCAATATGGGAGGCCATTCTGAAGGAGCAATATGGGAGGCCATTCTGAAGGAGCAATATGGTAGGCCATTCTGAAGGAGCAATATGGGAGGCCATTCTGAAGGAGCGATATGGGAGGCCATTCTGAAGGAGCAATATGGGAGGCCATTCTGAAGGAGCAATATGGGAGGCCATTCTGAAGGAGCAATATGGTAGGCCATTCTGAAGGAGCAATATTGGAGGCCATTCTGAAGGAGCAATATGGTAGGCCATTCTGAAGGAGCGATGGCCATTCTGAAGGAGCAATATGGGAGGCCATTCTGAAGTAGCAATATGGGAGGCCATTCTGAAGGAGCAATATGGTAGGCCATTCTGAAGGAGCAATATTGGAGGCCATTCTGAAGGAGCAATATGGTAGGCCATTCTGAAGGAGCGATGGCCCTTCTGAAGGAGCAATATGGGAGGCCATTCTGAAGGAGCAATATGGGAGGCCATTCTGAAGGAGCGATGGCCATTCTGAAGGAGCAATATGGGAGGCCATTCTGAAGGAGCAATATGGGAGGCCATTCTGAAGGAGCAATATGGGAGGCCATTCTGAAGGAGCAATATGGGAGGCCATTCTGAAGGAGCGATTGCCATTCTGAAGGAGCAATATGGGAAGCCATTCTGAAGGAGCAATATAGGAGGCCATTCTGAAGGAGCGATGGCCATTCTGAAGGAGCAATATAGGAGGCCATTCTGAAGGAGCGATGGCCATTCTGAAGGAGCAATATGGGAGGCCATTCTGAAGGAGCGATGGCCATTCTGAAGGAGCAATATGGGAGGCCATTCTGAAGGAGCAATATGGGAGGCCATTATGAAGGAGCAATATGGGAGGCCATTCTGAAGGAGCAATATGGGAGGCCATTCTGAAGGAGCAATATGGGAAGCCATTCTGAAGGAGCAAATATTAGAGGCCATTCTCCACAGGCGAACCGGCCTGACATTCTAAAAAAGTAAAACGGGCAGACACTCTACTTGACTGAATTAAATCACGAGCCAGTGAAATGTTGGCGTTAAGATTTCTGTGAGAGAAATTGACACTTTCCACTTCCGTCTTCAACATTTTGGCAGTCACAGTTAGACACAGAAAATGTATTTGAAAGTACTTCCATTCTATTCCCATCCTTTATATCTCTCTCCCTAAACTCCCTAAAAAAACCAATCGCTTCCAAACGAAAAAAAAAAAAGAGAGACGGAATTAAAATTGATTTGCACTCCAACGGTTGAACACTTGTGTGGGTATTTTTAGCCCAGCTTATCGACGCGCAAGCTGCTCAGGCCGTGAACTAGTCGAGTTTATGGACACAAATAACGGTCTACCCCCCCCCCCTCCCCCGCCTTAAGTTCGGGCCTGATCAATGGCTCCCCTGCCCTAAACCAACATAGACATACGGAGGGCTGGAGTTACGTATCCTGCACAATGATGACAGACGTTGGCAAATATTTCAACAAGAGACCATTTTATAAATCAAGATTCTGGTTAGAGGGGGAAAAAATATATATACGTATGCATCAATAGAGCATGTGCTACTGGTTAGTGTTAGTTACATTTGAACAAAAACTACCCAGGATGCCTAGTACTCCATTATGGTGTTAACATACATGTGATATATGTGAAGGCTCAAAGACTAGAATTGATTACAAACACAATGATACACAAAATATTCTACATTATTATAACTTGAAATTCGAACAAAGCTCATGTACCAACAAAGACAACACCCACCGAAGTCCATGGTAAGGTACAACACTACAATGTCTACTGAATGTTCGCATTTCTCAAAAAGAACAAATCAGCTCTTGCTAGAAACACAATTAACAGATTTAGACATTCTCTGATGTACCATGCTCAAATAGCACAGACTTCTCTTGTTAGAAACACAACTAACAGATTTAGACATTCTCTGATGTACCATGCTCAAATAGCACAGACTTCTCTTGTTAGAAACACAACTAACAGATTTAGACATTCTCTGATGTACCATGCTCAAATAGCACAGACTTCTCTTGTTAGAAACACGACTAACAGATTTAGACATTCTCTGATGTACCATGCTCAAATAGAACAAATCAGCTCTTGCTAGAAACACAACTAACAGATTTAGATATTCTCTGGTGTACCAT